TTGCAGCCAATCGTGCTGCAGCTATTGCAGGTGCTTCAAGATCTCCCCAACCACCTATGTCAGCGGGTGCTGCTGTTGTAGAAACAAGCGAGCATGTTGTTGCGCGGTTGAAGTCTCCAATGAAGTCCTTAACTCCTCCCACCGCCTCGTTTGATGTCATTCCTCCTGTGGTAGTGGTGGAAAATACCGCAAAGGGTAAGAAAAGATCCCTGGAGGAGATGACCGGGGGATCTACTACAGAGTGGCCAGACTTTGGCTGGAGGTTGGACCAAGATAGTCGCGCTCAGGGCAGAGAGTTTGGCACTCGTCTGGAAGCGCTGCCATAAGACTAATGGCTACAGATGTCCCAGAGCTTGACCATAGCGGGTCAATTCCTTATGTCTGCACCTGGTAATTACCTTGATATTTCGTTGTTTATATGCTATGATATTGTGTATATGCTTACTGCTCTTTACAATGTAACAGGCGCAGTGGACTTCTTGAAAGCTCGAATTGAGGCGCTGAAGGATGAAAGTGCTCAATAACGCGCTGACCTTGAGGCCAAATTGAAGAAATCTGAATATGAAATATCTACACTGAAAACGTCTATGGCGCAGAAGGATGGCGCCCTGAAGGCCCTGACAACCTCCAATAAGGGATTGGAAGCAGAAAAGACCGATCTATCCAAGCGTATCTTGGAACTGGAAGGAAACGCTGATAGCTGGGCCGAAGAGCAGGCATTCTTGACCGGTGAGGTGAAGAGGTATCGGGATTTATTTGAGAAGGAAGCGGAAGCAACCTTCGTAAATGTGATGGAGCAGGTGCGCTTCTTCAATCCCTCTGCCAAGCTGGAAAACGTGCATTATTACCACTATTTCAAGGATGGTCAGCTAGTGACACTGAATGAGCAAAATCAAGAGGTCCCAGTTGAACTGATCAGCGCGATGGATACAGACACGATCGCGCCATCCTTGCAAGAGCCATCACCTCAAGGTCCTCCTGCTGTGAATAACGAGTGCGCTGTTGAAGCTGATACTCCTCAGGATATGTCTATTCAGACAGTCTGACCTTCTGCTGTCTTCTTTTAATTTTTTTCTGTATTTGTAAGGAGAGTTTTGTAAGGGGAGTATCCCCATATGATTCAAAACAATGATGTGTGTAAGGGGTTTTGTTCCCTCAATTTTGAAATCATGACATTTGAGCTTGTTGAATATGTATGTTGGATGTGGTGCCAAATGCTTGTGTTTCTGTTTCTTGTTTGTACTTGTATATGTCGTGAAGGGTTATTACCCTTCGCTTCCTTATTCTTTTTGCTCTTTGCATGTCGTTCGACAGTCATACCTGTAATGAGTATTCATGACTAGCCAAACTGCGTGTAATTTCCATACCTCTGTTCTTTGGTATAAGTCTGGGTGTATTGCACCTTGGATGGAGTTTTGCCCCAAGCGAGGCGTTTCCCATATGTATGGAAGGTCATGTGTCTAGGACTATGGTGCGTACGTCGTATGGTACTTGACCTCCATGTCTGTATGCTGCATGATTATACAGTTTATAAGTCATATTGTAAATACTTTGCATACCTTTATTTGCTATCGCGTTTGAGCATCGCGATATGTCTTGGGGGATCGCGACTTGAATAGTTCCGATCTGTTGGGGAGATCTTTGTGGAGGAGTCTATTGATTGGAGGATTCGTGAGAGAATCTTGATATTTGATAGGATCCATGAGAGGAGTCCTGTTACTTGGAGGATTCGTAAGAGAATCCTAATACTTGATAAGATCCATGAGAGGTATCCTGTAAATTGGAGGATTCGTGAGAGAATTCTGATACTTGATAGGAACCATGAGAGGTATCCTGTAAATTGGAGGATTCGTGAGAGAATCCTGATACTTGATAGGATCCTGTTAATTGGAGGATTCGTGAGAGAATCCTGATACTTGAAAGGAACCATGAGAGGTATCCTGTTAATTGGAGGATTCGTGAGAGAATCCTGATACTTGATAGGAACCATGAGAGGTTTCCTGTTAATTGGAGGATTCGTGAGAGAATCTTGATATTTGATAGGATCCATGAGAGGTATCCTGTAAATTGGAGGATTCGTGAGAGAATCGTGATACTTGATAGGAACCATGAGAGGTATCCTGTAAATTGGAGGATTCGTGAGAGAATCCTATAACTTAAAAGGAACCATGAGAGGTATCCTGTTAATTGGAAGATTCGTGAGAGAATCCTATAACTTGATAGGAACCATGAGAGGTATCCTGTTAATTGGAGGATTCGTGAGAGAATCCTATAACTTGATAAGAACCATGAGAGGTTTCCTGTATTTTTAAACTTAATGCAGAAAGTAATTAATAGTAAAAGGAAATTGACCAGTTTTATTTGAAACAATAATTTGGAAAGACAAAAGTGTTGTGAGTCATGAAAGACTTAGCTATAAAATGTTTTAAGCTTGTCCGCGTTCCACGTGCGTGGGATAGTAAGGCCAGATAGTGTCTCCATGACATATGCCCCTTTATCTGTTTTGCTGTAGATGTGATAGGGTCCTTCCCAATTTGCGGCCAATTTGCCTTGTCGCGCGTTCTTATTGCCAATGTCATTTCTACGTAGGACTAAGTCGCCCATGTTGAAGCCTCGTTTGACAACCCTTAAATTATAGCGCGCTGCAATCCTCTGTTTGAGTACTACTTCTTTGACGTGCGCGATCTCACGCATTTCCTCTATCGCGTCTAAGTTATGAAGTAATGCCTGTGAGTTGCTATCTGCATTTGTGTATATCTTTCTCCATGATGGTTCTCCAATTTCAACTGGGATCATGGCTTCACTACCGAAGACCATGCGAAATGGGGTTTCACCTGTGGTTGAGTGTTTGGTTGTTCTGTAACCCCATAGTACAAAGTCTAACTGTTCAGGCCATTCTCCTTTAGCTGCTTCTAGTCTTCTTTCCAATCCACGTTTGAGGACTCGATTTGCAGCTTCTGCTAATCCGTTTGTTTGTGGATGTTCAACCGACGTATATCGGTGTTTGACATGCAGATCTTGAAGAATCTGATTAAATTTTCTGTCAACAAACTATGAGCCATTATCAGTTATAATGGTATGTGGAACGCCGAACCGACTTATGATTTGTTTGTAGAAGAATCGGCGAACCTTGTTGGCTGATATTGTGGCTAACGCTTCTGCCTCGATCCATTTGGAGAAGTAGTCGATTGCTACCAGCAACCATTTCACCCCTCCCACAGCCACTGGGAATGGGCCCAATATGTCCATGCCCCAGTGGTAGAACGGCCATGGGGACATCATTGAAGATAATTCCTCAGGGGGAGCATGATGTAAGTCTGCATGCTCCTGACATTTGACACACTGCCGCACGTGTTTTTTGGAGTCCTCTTCCATTGTTGGCCAAAAATAGCCTGCGCGAAGCAATTTTTGAGATAAGGATTTCCCTCCCATGTGATGTCCGCCAATTCCCTCGTGTACCTCAGATATTACATACTGAGCCTGCTGAGGATCTAAACATTTAAGCATTGGAGAGGAAAACTCTTTCTTGTAGAGTTGGTTGTTGATGATAGTGTAGAACGAAGCCTTGCGCGCTAGTTTTTTGGCTGCGCGCGTTTCTTGTGGTGCATCTCCTTTGGATAAATAATTACAGATTGGTGTCATCCAAGTTTTTTTATCATCCAGCGGCATAGTGTCATCCTCAACCATGGATTGCGTGCTTGGGGATGATTGAGCATTTCGTTTGGTTACGGCCATTATGATGCTAGGATTAGGGACGCTTTGTTGGATCACCGTTCTGTTGTTTCCTGGTCCTTTTGTGCTAGCTAACTTGGATAAAATGTCAGCCCGTGAGTTTTGCTCTCTGGGGATGTGTTCCACTTTGAAGCTTTGAAACTCTGTGAGTAATAATCTTACTTTTTCCAAATATTTTATCATTAATGTCTCTTTGGTCTGGTAGCTTCCTTGAACTTGAGCAATTACTAATTGTGAATCGCTCTTAAGGGTTATGTTTGTTGCCCCTAAGTCTTTGGCCATGGCGAGTCCTGCGATGACTGCTTCGTACTCAGCTTGGTTGTTTGAAGCTTTGAATCCAAAATGGATAGAGTGTTCCACTGTAATACCTTGAGGGCTTTCCACTATTACTCCTACACCACTCCCCTTGATATTGGAAGATCTGTCGACGTAAATGACCCAATCGACACTGTCCTCTGCCTCATGTAAGTGTGTCATTTCAACCAGGAAGTCTGCTAGTACCTGGACTTTAATTGCCTGTCGTATTCTGACAACTCTATTGACCATGAGATCATACAGCCTGCTAAATCAGGTTGTCTAAGTACTTGTCGAAGGGGTTGATTCGTTCTAACTCTGATAGTGTGCCCCTGGAAATAATGACGCAGGCGTCGCGATGTTAAGATCAGTGCGAAAGCGACCTTTTCAATCTGTTGATAGCGTAGTTCTGGTCCTTGGAGTGCTTTGCTGACGAAGTATATGAGCTGTTGTTCTTAGACTTATTCGCGCAGGAGGACCGCACTTATGGCTTCATTACTGACTGAGAGGTACAGAACCAGGGGTTCATTGGGTGGAGGCTTAACCAAGATTGGTGGGTTGGCCAAATGTTCTTTGATGGCCAAGAACCCTGCCTCGCACTCCAGATTCCAGTTAAAGTCTGTCTGTTTGCGTAATAGTTTGAGCATTGGCAATGATTTTTGAGCTGACGCAGGGAGGAATCTGGTTAGAGCAGTGATTCTTCCTGTCAATTGATGTAGTTCCTTTACGTTTCGCAGGCTGGTCATGCTGAGAATGGCGTTGCATTTGTCAGGGTTGGCCTCTATCCCGCGATGTGTGAGCATGAATCCTAAGAATTTTCTGGCAGGTACTCCAAACGCGCATTTGGCTGGATTAAGCCGTAGCCTGTATTTGCGCATTTGCTGAAATACCCATTCCAAATCTCGAGGATGGTGTGACGTAGTCATTATTTTGACTATCATATCATCAATGTAAACTTCAAGCATCTGTCCAATCTACTGACTGAAAACTTTGTTCATCATGCGTTGATAGGTGGCTCCAGCATTTTTGAGACCAAATGGCATCATATTATAGTAGTAGGTAGCTTTTTCAATGATAAAAGATGTAGCTTCCTCATCTGGTGTGAACATTGGAATCTGGTTGTAGCCTGAATACGCATCCATAAAGGATAGGATTTGGTATCCTCCAGAATTATTGACCAGCTTGTCGATGGTGGGAAGTGGATAGAAATCCTTTGGGCAATGTTTGTTGAGATCTGTGTAATCAGTACACATACGCCATTTTTCATTGGGTTTCCTGACTAATACAACATTGGAGAGCCAAGTAGAGTAAGTGATTTCTCTAATTACTTCTCTGGGTCTATCCCTGGCATGTCGGCGGCTGTCCACGCAAAAAGGTCTTTGTTATTTTGCAATACTGTTATCAGCGCGCTTTTCTCAGCTTCTGGGAGGTTTTGTCCAATTTTGGTGGTGTTTTCAGGGAGTGGGCCTATTTGGAAGTCTTCCAACTCCCCATCCGGTTGAGGACGAGTATCGCGCATATCTTCTCGCATGTCAAGATCGGTCATATTCACTGATGCTTTGCCTTTGTCATCAGGTTGTACAGGAGTTTTGGCTCTTAAACTGGTGTTATAACAGCTGCGCGCTATTTTCTGATCACCTCTGATGGCAACTACTATGCCAGACTTGTTATGCAATTTCATCAAAAGATGAGGCATAGAAATGATTCCCTTTAATGCGGCAATAGTTGGTCTTCCTAGAATGATGTTATATGTTGATGCGTATTCAATGACATAAAATTTTACTTTGATAGTTTGAGCAAGAGGCATGTTTCCAAAGGTGACCCATATTTCAAAGGTGCCTTTGGGCTGTACACACTCTCCGGCGAAGCCAATTAAGTCCGAACATCCATGAAGAAGATGTTCCTTTGGGATGTGCATCGCGCAAAAGGCATCCTAGAATATAATATCAGCTGAGCTACCATTGTCAATCTTAATACGTTTTACCTGGAGGTTAGCCATGCACGCTGAGATCACTAGTGGGTCTCATGGTCTGGTACGATGTCGCCATAGTCATCATCGTCAAAACTTATGGCCTGTCTTTGATCGCGAGAGGTGGAAGGGCGTGCATGATCGCGCACCGTCATGACTGATTTCAGATGCTTTTTTCGTTGAGATTTGGTCGATCCTTCTCCCGCTGATCTGCCGTCAATAGTGGCTAAAACACCTGCCGCGTTGTTAGGTAGTCCATCGCGGTGTTGCCCCGCGACTTGTCGCCTGTTTCTTGGTGGAGTTCTGTGACGTCTGTCAGTTGAAGCTGCTATGTCCTCTCTTCGGTCATTGTTGCGAGTACGGTTATAATTTTTCCTAGGGCGTGCCCTTTGTTTATTGCAGTTGTGATCAGGGCTTCTATCGTGCCTTCGCTGCGTCTTATATTCCCTGCAGCTGGAAATAAATTCCTGGAGCTTTCCTTCTCTTATGAGTGCCTCAATGGTATTTCTGAGCGCTAGACATTCGTCGATGGTGTGACCTTTGTCGTTGTGGAATTCACAAAATTTGGATTCATCGCGCTGAACTCCTTTTGGCATTGGAGGAGGTCTATTAACCCGGACATACCCTGTTTGGAATACTTCCTTAAAAATTCGCTTGGGAGATGCGTTCAAGGGGGTGTAGTTGTCGTATTTTCCCCCACTTTCTCTTTTCGCGAAATTTGCGTTGAAAATTCTTCTGGACATCTCTTTCGAAGTTGTCCGTGTTGGCCCTGGTGTTGGAGATTTCTCGTGATCGCCTATAATCCTCCAGGTTGATGAATTTCTCTGAACGCGCACGCAATTCCTCTATGGTGCGAGGTCGCTGTTTGGCCAGCGACATAGAAAAAGGGCCTTCCACAAGTCCTTCAGTGATAATGTGTAGTCAGACTTGTGGATCTAAATCTCTGACCAAAAGCGCTTCATCAAAGAATCTGTTTTGATAATCGCGCAGAGTTTCATTTGCTACTACTATTTTTGAGTGTATTTATGTTATTCAGTATTTTAGCATTTTGTGGATCATGATGTCTGATCTTTTATTTTGTATATGGCATGTATATGTTTTGTACATGTCTTTCAGTATGATGCATGTACATTTGTGTATTCAGGCATGTTGATATGACGTTGTAGTATTCAGTTATGTTTACATGTTGAATTGCATGCTGTTAGATATAGTGGCACGGAGCCAAGTTATGAACGCGCCCATGGATGGGTATATGATTATATTTGGATGTCTGGTACTTCTGAATTTATATGCTATATAAACTGTCTATCAGGAACTCTTGAGATTGAGATTGGAAAATCTCCAGTTGTCCGATTTACAGAGGTTACTCTGCCCGATTTTCGTCTCCGCCGAATAAGAATTAAACTAGAAAAAAGAAAAAGTTAGCTCGTATATTCGTAAGTTAAGTCTTTCGTTGTTTCTGTTTGTATCATATGCATGTTAATTGAACCGACTCGAGACGGGAATGTTACAGAATCTAGGGCATGTTACATCCGTTGACATGTGTTTGCCGCACCTGCTCTCGTTCGTCGACAGGTATTGGTTCACGAGAAGCCAAAGTAAGTGTTTGATGTACTTATAGGCCAAGGTCTCTCAACCAAACTCCACTGGGACTGAAAAAAGAGTGCATGTAGCCCATCTACACCAAGAGCTTTAAAAGGGTTCATTGAAAAGTTAACGACGTCCTTCACTTCTGTTATTGGTCAAGCTTGTGTGGTCCAAATGAGCGAACATGTTTCGAAGAGGGAATATAGGTTTGAAATGGTACTCCTCCTTATACAGGTTCTAATAAAAATGCATTGCCACCCCATCATTGTTCTTTACTGCGATGACAACGACTAATATTGGTCGAGTGGAAGAACCGAGAGTTGTGATCCCCATAAATGAGCCATTTTTGTCTTTGATCGTTGGAACCAAGTTAGCTCCTCCCTAATGTATATTAGCTAGGTTGAGTCCCTTCCATTGTTTCCTTTGAAAAATAACCATTATACAATATACTTTATCCCAATTTAATTTATTAACTCTAGTTTAGCTTCCAACTTCATGTTGCTTTTAAAATGATATATAGGATAAATATAATACTCATTATCCAGGAGAACACAACAATAATACAAAGATTGATGAAAATTAAATAAAATAAAAAACCAAAATTTGTTACCAAGAAAACTTATTCTTGAATATTGTTTCAAAAGAAATGCACGTGCATGCACATATGGATGAAATTTTATTTGTGTTTGTTTTTATCAATAATGGTGATTATCAATTTAAATTTCATTTGATATATTATATCTCATATAATAATCTTTGAAATTGATTTCTACTTCATATTGCATCACAACCTCCTAAACTTCAATTTAAAGAAAATTGTCATTCCACTTTATCAATTCCCTTCCCTATTCTGCCGAATTTCATTCTTTGCATCATACCTAACTTAGAAAGAGTACGTTAATTATGCAATACTCCATATTTAATGCACATTATTAATTTATTCACACGAACATTTCTCTGCAAGGTTTGCAATCTTCCCATTAAAACGTTAAAAAAAAAAACCAAACTAGCTTTATTTAGTGACAATGTATTTTGAATCAATCTTACTATATAGAAAGGAGAACCAAACTTTTCAAAATTGAGGTGTCGCATTCTCCTTAAATCTCAGCTTTCTGTTCACACTAGAGGATGTCTTGAAAACTTACTTCTTTTCCATGTAGTGAACAAAATATGTATGTTTGAATTTCTGTTCACACTAGAAGATTCTTTCCGTTTTAATGTAAAAATAACTTTTGAAAATTAGCTGAGGTGTCGCATTCTCCTTAAATCTCAGCTTTCTGTTCACACTAGATGATGTCTTGAAAACTTACTTCTTTTCCATGTAGTGAACAAAATATGTATGTTTGAATTTCTGTTCACACTAGAGGATTCTTTCCGTTTTAATGTAAAAAAAACTTTTGAAAATTAGCTGAGGTGTCGCATTCTCCTTAAATCTCAGCTTTATGTTCATACTAGAGGATGTCTTGAAAACTTACTTCTTTTCGATATAGTGAACAAAATATGTATGTTTGAATTTCTGTTCACACTAGAGGATTCTTTCCGTTTTAATGTAAAAATAGCTGAATCATTAAAACAGGTGAGTGATTTCATTTCAAAATTCAAAATTTTAAATCAGCTGACTCATTAGGTATTTTTGGGAGTTAATTAAGATCATAATGGTTAAAATGTTTTGAAATTTTCTATGTATTCCTTGCATGTATAAAGACGATATTTGGTGTTTCTTTTGCCTTTTGGTCTGCATCACTGCCATGAGCATTTTGTATCTTCTTTGGTCCATTTATCTACTCCTCCAAAGTATTCAATGTCCTCAAAATACGACTTCGTAAAGGATCTTAATCCGACGAAAGAAGAGTGGAGGATTAAAGTGCGTGTAGTTAGGTGTTGGAAGGTTCCCAGTTTTAATCAAAAAGATTTTGATGACAATGTGGATATGGTTTTGGTCGACGAACGGGTAATGTATTTTTTCTTTTTTTCAATGTTTTTTCTTTTCAGTAGCTCATTGTCGGTTTTTTTTTTTTTTTTTTTGCTTTGTTGCGTGTTTTCATTTTATAGGGTGGAAGGATCCATGCTACGGCCAAGGGTACTTTGCAGGTTCGGAAGAAAATTCGTGAGGGTGATGCTTATTTTATAAAAAAATTTGGAGTTGGGTTCAATACGGGTAATTTCAGGCCAACACGACATGAATATCGTCTGTCTTTCAGGATGATTCTGTATTTGACAGTCCTTCTGATGATAATATTATGTCGATAGGGTCAGGAAAAGCTGTGGTGAGTTGGTATTATTGACATAATTGGAAAATTTGATTTCCGTATCCTTATATTAATAGCGGTCAGAGTCATTTTGTTGACAGGATGTTCAGAGCCAAACCTGTGATAGTACTGATGATGCTGATATTTCTCTCACTTTGTTGTCACTGTCTGTGAAGTATGGTGATGTTGTTGAAGATAAAAATAATTGTTCAGTTGTCCGTCCTCTTAAAAAAATAAAGCTGGAGAAAGAGTTAAGTTCTGACTATAGATATTATAAAGTTTACGTGATTTATAATTTCATCCCTCTCACTCTGTGTGCCTTTTTGTTTATTTTGGCACAGTTTTGATGCTGCATCCGGTGACACTTCGGAGCAAAAAGAAAATCTGTAACTATGCTTTGGTCGATTTTTTGTAACGAGGAGCTATTGACATTTTCCTTATTATGTTGCCTATTATCATGTGTTGAACTTTGACAGTGTACCAAGGCCTTAATATTTGTGTTTAAATATTTTGATATCAACTTCACTTCTTCATTTTTAACAAAGTTTGCAAAAAAAATTTCTTTTAATATTTTGTTATCAGCTTTAGTACGATGTGTGAATTTCTTTAGTACGATGTGTTTCAGTTTTAGGGATGTCATTTGAAATTCCCCATTATACCAATTGTTAACAATTAATTTCATTATTAGTAATTGCTTGACGTTTCGTTTGAAGTTATTTTTAATGCTCCCCTGAATTTCGAATTAGTGTGTTGGACTTTTAAATTTTTAAACAAATTAATAAATGCCAATAAAAGCGGTAGATTGGTCGATTTTTTGTAACGAGGAGCTATTGACATTTTCCTTATTCTGTGGCCTATTATCATGTTTTGAACTTTGACAGTGTACCAAGGCCTTAATATTTGTTTTTTAATAATTTGATATCAAATTCGCTTCTTCATTTTTACCAAAGTTTGCAAAAAAAAAAACTTAAAAGTAATTGAATAAAAAATTAATTTATAATATTTAAAATATTTAATAATCCAATGTAAAAACAGCTTAAACATTAAAACAGGTGAGTGATTCCATTTCAAAATTCAAAATTTTAAATCAACTGACTCATTAGATGAGATGAC